TACGTATTGCATCACAAAAAGCGCAAGGCCTAAATTCTCCAGTTGGGACCATATGTTGATGGGACGGTTATATATGCAGGAGATTCTAATATTGCTATTGGTTTGTCCGTGGGCCGTTCTTACCCCCAATGACCTACATTGAAACACCCTACAAAAGCAGGTACAAAACAGGCTAAATTGCTACATTATCATGCACTGGTAGATGTCTGAAGGGGAAATAACCCTTCTGCTAAGGACTATTCTCATTTCTTGCATGTTCATCCTACCTACTCCAAGATAGATCATATTTTTGTTTCCTCTTCTGACCTGCCCCTGGTGGAAATGGCTAAAAGTCGGGAAACAGCATGGTCTGATCACGCTCTGGTAGTAACATCATTCTCACGTCTTAGGCCTTTCTTATGGCGCTTAAATTAATCTCTCTTAAGTGATTCTGCAATTTGTAAAGAAATTTGGAATCAGCTGGAAATGTATTTCTCAATGAGTGTATCCCCCTCAATCTCTGCAGTCACCTTCTAGACCACCCATAAGGCTACAATATTAGATCATATTATTGAACTTGCTTCTACAATGAAAAAGCAGGCTATGAGTAACATCACTAAGCTCGAACATCAACTTTAACGCTCAACTAAGGAACATAAATGCTCACCCACTACTGATCTACACAAAATCGAAAACACTCACTTAGAACTCAACATACTTTTAACTACTAGGGCCAAAAAGAGTGTACGCAGGTCTGACAATAAGTTGTCTGCCCATTAGTACAAAATTAGAGCCTTGTTATCCTCTCGATCCACTCCACAACACCGATCTTATGCTGTTCCCAAAATCCCTGTTCCTCATAACCCTAAGGCTGTTCTCCAAGAATTTTATAACTATTACATGCCTCTGTAAAAAGATTCAGTGAAGCCCTCTGGGCTCTCTACTCAAAGATACTTGGATAACATTTCTCTTCCCTCATAATCCTTCAAAAATATGTCTCTTCTTGAGGCTCCTGTCTCTCTGGCCTCAGCTCCAGGCTCGGATGGCTTGCCTTCCTGTTACTGTAACAAATTTGGGGACATTCTGATCCCTCATCTGGAATAATTCTTTAGTGCCGTACATAATGGGGTGAAACTATACTCTGAACTGACCAAGGCAGTTGTACCTAAACCAGACAAAGATGCTAGCAAAGTAGCAAATTACAGACCAATATCGCTAATCAATAACGATCTTAAGCTTCTAACCAAAATCTTAGCCAACAGACTAAATACATGTTTTGCATACTCATATGCATTGAGATCAAGTAGGATTTATGGTGGGGAGGCAAGGTCCAGATCAGACGGACCATTAATATTTATATATACCCCCTAAGCAACTTGCCCCAACACTGTCCATGTCACTGACCATGTGTAATAGATTACATAAGAATTTTCATCTGTCCTCTCCTTATGCTCCTTTAGCTCCTTTATTTAGCAATCCGATGTTTCCCACAGGTACCCAACCCCCGAGCTTTTAAATGGTGTCTAGATAAAAGGGATGTACAATTTTTCAAGGGACGGCAACCTATGTCACTTTCATATTCCTATGACAATTGCCTGCCTTGGAATTCTTCCACTTTCAGCAGATATATAATTTCACGTGTTCTTTAAAACTAGACACACATAATGATTCCCTACCCACTCCAAATAAATGTTGGTGCACGCAATCCACTGGCCAGAGAGGGGCAATATATCTATCAACTACGCTATTTTATCCCATTTAGTCCCATTCTAAGTTATATGTTGGCATGGGAGAGGGTATTATAGTAATAAAATAACTTTGAGGTTTACTCAATACTACCTTAATAGAAGCTAATTTCAAGGTATTATCTTGATGGTACTTGGTCCAGTCTCTTGCGATCAGGGTTCAATGTGTCAAACTTAGTGGTTATGTCCTAAACTCCGCTCATTCTGGAATAAATGCTTTGCCTTGATCTTCAGGGTTACGGGTATTTGGGTTCCTAGAGATCCGAAGTGTATGCTACTGCTAGACTGGATTGCGGTACCCTAAAAGCCCAGGGATAATTGATTTCTTACATATTCCTAGCAGCCATGTCAGTGCCCTTCTCCCTTGCCAAGGCTAAACTTTCCTGGATTAGGATCCATGAAAAACTTCAAAGCATCCTTCAAGATAAAAAGCACCAGTTTAGAATGGTATGACACTTGATTAAACTATGTTGGCTTGAACCCTTCATCATGAAGATCTAGCTTTTTAACGTTATAGTAGCGATGGGAACTCTGAGCCTATTGTTTCTCTCAATTTCTTCCTCTTTTCTTTTTTCTCCTTCTCATCTATCTTTCTTTGTCTTTTTTCCTTTCTATAAGATTTTAAGTGTTGCCTTTCCTCTAATAAGGCTTACCTCTTCCAGAGTGCATTCATGTAACATTTCTGATTCCACCAGGCAGGTTTCTGGATTACATTTGCAAATGTATCTAGTTAAATAGCTACCAACTATATTGAGTTAGTTTCTGTACTTTAAACATTTTAAATTATTTAAAGGGATAAAACAAGGGTTAATGTGTATGTATTGCAGAGATGTCATTTTTTTTTTGCCTTAACATGAACTTTAACCACCTGCTGTCCGGCCGTTGTAATTAAATGGCCGGACAGCGGCTTCTTGAATGCGGTGGGCGTTTTTAAACGTCCCAGCACGAGCGGGAAATCAGCTTTGAATGTAAACAGCCAGCAATGGCTGTTTACATACAAGCGCTCGGGCGTCTGTAGAGACGCCCAATCGCTTGTAATATGCGTGTGCGGCCCCCCCTCCGTTGCAGCCGCTGCTGGCGATCCCAACCTCCGCTGTGCCCGATGCGAGCCCGGGACCAGCACAGAAGCTCTGCGGCCGGAGATCAAATGGAGCTCAGTACACGAGCTCCATTTGATCTCCTCTTTGGAATGCAGGAAGTGATGTGTATTACATCACTTCTGCATTCCTCTGCCACTCACCGGTACTGCTGGCGATCCCAACCTCCGCTGTGCCCGATGCGAGCCCGGGACCAGCACAGAAGCTCTGCGGCCGGAGATCAAATGGAGCTCAGTACACGAGCTCCATTTGATCTCCTCTTTGGAATGCAGGAAGTGATGTGTATTACATCACTTCTGCATTCCTCTGTCACTCACCGGTACTGAAACCGGAGAGAAGCTGGTGAAGCAGGTGTTTGCTTCATCAGCTTCTCTGGGGGGTCCCTAGGTGAGATTAGGAGTCTTAAAGACCCCTGATGTCTCCATAAAGAGGACCTGACACTGAAAATTGGCTATCAAAAAGTGGGCTTGTTAGTCCCCTATGTGATAGCAATAAAGCCAAGTGAAAAAAAAAGGTTTAAAGGAATTAGTTAAAAAAAATATAAAAAAATGAAGTCACATATAAAGGTAATAAAAAAATTTAAAAAAATGTTAAGTCCCCCGCCCCCCACATACACGTGCAAACATGCGTTGAGTGCGCCTATGTGCGGAAACGACAATTGCATCCATTACGCCGCACATGTTACATGTCGCCGCGAACGTCGCAGTGAGAGCAATGATTTTAGGGCCATCAATCACTGATAACACTAAACTGATGAGCGGTAAAAGCTTTTAAAGAGTCGCCTATGGCCAATTTTGGGCATGGTAGTTTTTGCGAGTTCGCAGGCGCACGCATTTTTAAAGCTTGACATGTTTGGGGTCTATTTACCCGATGTGAACCCGTCTTTTATATTTTGCCAACAATTTGGTTAATAATAATTGTTTTATAACATAACGTAGGGAAAACAGTTTGTTTCAAAATGTTTGGTACTTTTTTCCTTATATAGTAAAAAATAAAAACCCCACTGGTGATTAAATACCACCAAAAGAAAGCTCTATCTGTCCCCAACAAATGGTATACAAATCATTTCAGTACAGCGTTGCATGACGGAATAAATGTCAGTCAAAGTACCACAGCACTGAATACTGAAAAATTGCCTGGACAGGAAGGGGGTGTAAACACCCTGGTCAGCAAGTGGTTAAAGGGCTTTTCTGATTTCATAATCAATTGAACAATTACATTACATAATTCCATACAGTTGCATACAAGGGGTGTTCCCCAAACATCTTTCCTAAGTAACAGTATGATCTGTAGTTGTTTTAGTTGCCTTGGTTAATTATATGCATTCCTTCAGATGTGAAGGTACATTGCATTAGGGAGAAACACAAAGTTTAAGCAGCACAAGAAATTAAATTGATCATGACTACACAGAAATCCCAACAATACAAAACAGTAAGTCTGGGAACTCTTCTAATTTGAAATATAGACAATTCTCAAGTGGATGTATCTTTTTAGATGAAAACTCCCTATATATTTTTCTGTCCAAACCATTACTTGTAAGAATGAGGTCTACAATCCAAATGATCACAGGTCCCCTACATATTCTTCACAACTCTGAGGTTTGTTTTATGCAATTTTGAAAATCAGGTAAATTGTATCAAGTATATAAATGTTTACTGTAAATAAAAAACTGTTTACCTCAGTAAATAAAACATTACTTGTAACTAATTATTGTCCAGTGATGTAAAGACTTTAAAAAAATTTCGAACCAGTATTAATCTACAGTATAAAATTTTTAAACGTAGTCTTCAGATCTCACACCTACAATTGTACTTCTTGTATAGGCATATCTTCTTGTTTATGACATATCTTTTTTTTTATTATTATTAAAAAGCAACAATGAGTCAGAATAACTAGTCACTGAAAAGGTTTAGATTTGCCAAATTTGCCCTCTCAAGACTAAATAATGAATGTTGCTAAAAAGATGAATGCACACTGTGGCTTTACAGTCACAAAAGAACTGGCTCTCAGCACCCTTTACATATCCAATGTAAAGTAAGAGTTTGTTGTGATATTTACAGGATATTTATTCAACATGTTCTGCAAAATCAACAGATACATAGAAACAGCCCTGAACAATATTACTCTTAAACATAAAAGAAATGTGGTCATAATGACAAAATAGAACATGTTTACTTACCTCCTCTATGAATTACCAAAGAAGTTTCACTTCCCACAGGACATTCTTTTAGCAACTCTACTACTTCTAAATGGTTCAGATTCTGTACATTCTGCTGGTTTATCTCAACTATAAGATCCCCTTCGAATAAACCAGGGCATCCCTGAACGTCTAGAATTTGCTTCACTCGTTGTCCTGTTGGACTGTCTGCTATTGTGAAGCCAAAGCCCTGTGCCCCTTTCACAATGGTTAAGGTCATGAGTTCTGCTTGTGTGGCTCCAGAAGAAGCCATAGATACATTATCATCATGTGCAGGTGGAGGTGGAGGAAATGTATTTTCAATCTGACCATCTGCTGGGATGGAGTGCAAAGAAGGCATTGGTCGTTCTGCTACATCTGGTACAGATTGAGACGTCCTAGAAATGTATTCCAAATAGGTCTCATAGTTATTTCGTCCATTTACCACAACTGGAGGCCTTTCTATTACTGCCAAAGGAGGAACCAAGCTGCTTGCAGAATCTTCAGGATCATAGGGTAAGGGGTATCCTCGACATAGCACCAAGTTGACGCTCTGACCAATTGGAACTGACTGGAAAAGTTTTACCACATCTGCATGCGTGTGCCCGAGAACACAAACTTCATTAATATAGACAATGACATCACCTACAAACAGAAAAAATGGTTGACATAGTGAGATAACTGTAATCACTACTGACACACAAGACTTGAAATATTTTAGGTAGGTAGGTAGGCTGCTGTATACAAAAAAGGAAATCACCACTGTAAAATCTCAAACATATGAGGAATCTAAAGGTCATAAAATACATGCAATTTTTTTAAATGTTAACTGAACCTTACTATACTGAACGTTAAAATATACAACCTATGTAACTGTAAAAGCAAATCTAATAGATATGATTCTACACAACTTGTATAATAAATTATTTATGAGGATGTTAGTAGATGCATCCGAGTTCAAAACTCAGCCTTTGCTCATGCACCTTTAACTCAAGTGGGTTACCACCTGTCAATTACTTATGTGCAAAATGTCTGGCAAATGTTACTAGCTGCTATTACTAAACATAAAACCAGATGCTGCACCAAAAATTTAAATATTAATTCATCTGCATATTTTTGCAAATTTGGCAGTGTACCTTTGTCTTGAACCCTAACTGTGAATCTGCCAATCTGACATAAAAAAGTGTTAAAATGCAACTATATTTTAAAGTATATAAATTCTTAACCCCTTTAAAAAAAATGTATGCACGCCTACGATCCAGGGCCAGTATTCCCAAAGGCGGTGCAAGATGTGTTAACAGATGCTGTGCACAAATGTGGTTCTTTTGGAGTTAAAGGAATTAAATCTACCTTTTATGGTTAGCTATACTGGGTAAGTGATAGCAGGCACCAGCTAGGGAGCACAAATATGTGTTTGTTGGACACTAGGAGTGAAGTTAACACAGCAGATGCAATGGAAACAAATGAAAAAAAAGGGCTATAAGAACCACTGCTTTTTAAAGTGTGGTTTGAGTCAGTATTAAGCTAGAAGTGTTGTACACTGTTTTTACACATTTAATCTTGGTTAGACCATAATATATTCTCTGTGTTATAAGCTTACAATGATATTGTCACCATTACAACACAACTTACTGGCAGACATGTCAATAAGAAACGGTATTGTTCTTTCATCTTGGGTAGGGGTGCAAGAACTGCCTGGCGCTTTTAAATAGGGTTTGAACAGGGAGAAAGGTTAAGCAGTAATGATGTAGAAGACAGTCAAGCTGTTGAAGATTATTGTGCTGTAGTGTTTTCAAAGTAACAAAGAGAAATAGTTCAATACATAAAATGTATCAATAACTCACTAAATAATACTGAATGGATTAGTCTCTGGTTCAATTAGCCCTTCTGAAATACTACTACCCAAGATCAGAAAGTCAGGATGTTTCCCCATTGTGTCTGAACCAAATTTGTATATATTCCTGAAAGCACTGCACAGATCAGAAAACTTCAGGATTACATTACTATATCAATCAGTATATTTAAATCAGTATGTAACACTACATCACTACAGAAAATACATAAGAGACCAACCAAACAAAATAAATAATCTGGTTTATTTACATTCATTCATTATGGATATGAATTTGCAAGAAAGAGTTAGGCTCCATTCACAAGCGGAGTTTGGATCTATATCATGCAGCACAAACATGCACAAATTTTAACATGCACATTTTGTAAATTTTAACATAACATGTTTGCGGCTATTACTATAGCCGGAACACACAGAATCTGCCTGGAATAACGCACTTGGACGTTTTTGCACAACCCGCATTTTCATACCACACAGACGTTGCACAAGTGTGAACATACATTTAAAAGGTATTGTTTGTTATGTTTTGCGTGTTTCCACGCATACGAATACGCGCGGAAAACCACTGATGTTCGGACGGAGCAGTCAGTCAGATATCACATCTGTTCCAACTTAAAGTGTACTTCCACTTTCACAGTCATGTTAATGAAGTTAATTGGAAAAAACAATCCACAAATTTCAGTCCTAAGTCTTTCTATAAGAACAGATCACTGGGAAGGTGCTCAGAAAAACTGGAATCAGCCATGTTGCCTGTTGCAACAAAACATCTAAAAGGTAATACATATTTTTCATTATGCTGTGTGAATGGGAACACAAACATAAAGAGAGGTTTTTTCAAATTTGACTACAAAAGTGGAAATAGGATTTAAGACTATGGTAGGCAACCACTTGCATTTATGACTACACAAACAAACAAAAACGCAGGAATGAAACATATCATTCAATCACATAACTCAGCTAACACCTTTACAACCACAGAGCCATTAAGAGATGTGCAAGGAGATTGCAGAACTGTAAAATGTCTATGATGGCATAGCTTAAAAAGGCTATGCAAATATTTTTGCATGATCTTAACAAGAACCGCTGATTCACTTCAAATTTGCATCTAATCTGCTGTCTGGTTAACAGAATCGAAAGCTTGTGTTATGTACCATACGTGTGTAAAAGGCAACATAGAATGTAACAAAAGCTTTAGCAAACATAAAACAACATATCTTAATAACCTTATATTACTGTTTTTGCCCACATTGTGGAAAGCAATTCAATATAACCAAGATGTAACTTCTACTTCTTTTTTGCTTCCCTAATGAAATATCATCATGCTTGGCAGTGAGCCAGCTGAAAACTTCCCAAGTGTAAATGAAGACAGAATTGGAACAATTGCTGTTTCTCCCCACGGTTCCTACTTTCCAATGTGCCAGTGCTTGGTTTAACAGCATGTGTCACTGAAAGGCAGAGCAAGATAACTTGAATCCCCCCTTGCACTCTTGACAGATTTTCTTTCAACAGCTATAAAAAAGAAATTGGCAGCTGCCTAGGTCTGGGAAATTCTGCATAAATGAGTGAAGGCCTTCCATATGACATACGTATATGAAATGTGTGCATTATGTCCCTATGAACATTTCTGTAATTAATATGCAAACCTTTACACAAGATTAAAAATGCACTTTTGTGTGAAGAAAGTTGTGCGCTACCCTCATTTTACAAACAGAATTAATGTCATATATTACATCAGTGTAATGTAAAATCCTTGTTGTGGGGATATATTTGATTCTGATGAAACAGTTTAAAGATGAAAAATTAACACCTACTTAAAAATGCTCTGGAAAAAAGTAGCCATTGTATACACTTTAGTCTGATCAAACAGAGGTTGCTCCCCTACCCACACTTGCGCTAATTGCACATGGTCCTACACCAACTGTGTGCTTTTTGCTAGATGTGTTACCATTTGAGATTTCCTATAACCAGGGGTGGACTGACAACACATGGGGCCCCCGGACAATATGAGATTATGGGCCCTCCTGTGCTCTGCCCATATACAAGCCCCACCCACAAGCCCCATCTGTATAAACATTTTTGTGGTACAGAAATATTTTCTATACACTATGTTGAAAATAGTGGGCCAATTCACTAAAAGAAAAATTGCTGGGAAATTATGATTACAGCCAGGTTTGCAGCTACATCATGACTACACCACAGTTATTTATATCGTCTGCCAATTACAATTAGGCCCCATTCACACTGAGCGATTTATCGAGCGATTTTTGCAGCGATATCGCTCATATTTCCGCGCGATATTGCTCTATGTAGCTTCTCCAATCCATTTCAATGGAGCTGTTCACATCTCGTCGCTCAATATCGCTTGTAGCTTCTACATGACCCTTTTTTCGAGCAATTTCGAGCGATTTTGCTCCTGATTGCATACAGCCCAATAGGAAAAAGTAGTGACAAGTCGCTCAATATCGCTCATATAAAATCGCGCGATTTTCACGTCGCTCAGTGTGAATGGGGCCTTAAGTTCACAGCTGTGGGTGGAATATTATATTTTCATTTTTACATAGAGTGAGGAAGGTTAAAGGAGAACTATGGGGTCAGGGCTTTTCCCCATAGTTCTCCTTAGGGTAACGGCAGGACACAAACTAGCGTCCTCCCATTACCCTAAGCTCAGTATACCGCGAGCTACAGCTGTCGGTATACTGAGACGCCGCAGCAGATCCCGACATCAATGTCAAGATGCACCCAGCTGCGTGAGTGACAGCTGGCTCTGCCTATCTAGAGGCAGAGCCAGCTGTACTCGCCCCCTCCCCCGTCCGGGGCTGGATTCCCCCCGTCCGCGGGGGGGAATCCAGCCCCTGCCCTGTCACGGCAGAGAGCTGTGACAGGATCGAGAGGTGAGTTCTCCTTAGGGTAACGGGAGGACACAAACTAGCGTCCTCCCATTACCCTAAGCTCAGTATACCGCGAGCTACAGCTGGCGTTATACTGAGATGCCGCAGCCGGAGCGGATCCTGACATCAATGTCAAGATGCGCCCAGCTGCGTGAGTGACAGCTGGCTGTGCCTATCTAGAGGCAGAGCCAGCTGTACTCGCCCCCTCCCCCGTCCGGGGCTGGATTCCCCCCGTCCGCAGGGGGGAATCCAGCCCCTGCCCTGTCACGGCAGAGAGCCGTGACAGGATCGAGAGGGGAGCGAACGCCGGTATATGTTCGCTCACCTCCCGATCTACTGAGCCGATATGCGACAGTCTCATTGTCAAAGGTCAGCTAGAACTATGAGGTGAGTGAGAAGCACTCACCTCATAGTTCTCCTTTAAACCCAATTGTTTATTGATGTATGTGTTCCTGGGGACTTTTCCTGGACATCATTGTCACTGAGAAAGAACATCTGGGGAAATCCATAATTTTAAAATTACAACGATAGCAAGAGGTAAAACAAGAAATTTCAAAGGGGCTAAATATGCTGCTGACACTGTTTCCCCTCAATTTCTCACTTTCTGTTGTGTCTCTTGGGGAGAAAATGAAGGGAAATCTCCCCAACAGGGCACAGACAGCAAAACATAATCTGACTGGGTTTCTATGTAAAAAAGTTTAGTAAAAATACATTTTTTTTTTTTTTTTGCAGAAATATATTTTATTGAAAATTTTCAGACATACAAGAGATTGTAACAGACAAAGGCAGCGTCAAATGTGCATCTTTGAGGATAATAGGATAACCCTAAATAATAACAACCGTATCTACAGTACATGTGTTAATGTGTCCGAGTCCTAGCCACACCTTCGCCCAAAAGTTCTCGA